TGTGTGTGTGTGTGTGTGTGTGTGCATGTGTGTGTGTGTGTCGGTGTCACTGATGTGTTGGTTAGAGTTGTGGTTCCAAGTCATCATATTGATGCCCAAGTGATGTCATCATGATGCAATTAGCCAATAAAGGTCAATCAAAGGTCACTGTCTTTCAAAACAGAAACTATCTACCCATCCATCTATCCATCTTATCTACCCTGTCTACCCATCTACCCATCCATCTATCTCTGTTTGGAAAAGACAATTTCACTGATCTTCATTGGCGTACAGTACAAGTTGGGAGTTGGTTGCAGACATCCCTCACAATCTTCCAGTAAATGCATCCATTATGCATTTGATGAAGGGCTATCACGCTGAACCCTTTCTGAAGCACTCAGGAAGAGAAGTGAAGTGTGGATGTTACTGAGTTAAAGAGATAATCTTGTTGCGGCGAGGGCAGCTTACCTGCGCCCGGCCACAATGATTTCAGTTCTCTGAAACAAACCACTTAAAAGGCCATGATAGGGAACAAGGTGACTCTGTGCCACATTACAGTTTCCTCCTTCCTTTGGGGGTCACGCCCAACCCCCACCTGTGTTCGTGGAACTGAGATTTAATGGAGTCTTGCCATACAGTACTGCGATTATGAGTCAAGAGAATGCTTTGTCTTATTTCTGCCAGAGAGAGTTCAGTCATCTTGGCTCTAATTATATTCTACTTCAGTTGTGCAACAAAGCAGGCAGTGCAATTATAATGAAATTATTATTATTATTATTATTATTATTATTATTATTATTATTATTATTATTAATAATATATTTTATATTTTTCCTGCTAGGACTGCATTCATCCACTATTGTAATGTTCAAACAGGCTACTCTATTGTTATTACAAATGGCGTGAAAGACAACTACTTCTTTTTGCTGAATATGAAGAGATAAATTTCAAAGCGACGGCAACTTTTTCTGTCAGTAGCTCACTCAAGCCTGTGTATTTTATTGATTTAACCTCTGCACGCTAGAACGTCCGAAATGCACAATTCATGTACTTTCATTTTTAATATCAATAAAAAAACAACATTTTATCAAACATACAATGTCTAAAAGATTCATTGCTTTGGTCAGGGCTATTTGCCCGTCTTTGATGTTTGTTTTGAGCGTTCAGTCTGTGGTGAGCTTGAGGGTGAAGCTTGAAATATTTTTGTATCACTTAAACCTTGTGTACCCTGCAAATGATTTGTAACATCTTGGGACCTCACAGAGACTCTYCGGCTGCTTTTAGCTCTCTCTTCTTACCCCCTTTCTCTCCCGGCTCCCTTCAGTTTTCCTCTCCGTCTCCTTTTTGTCGAATGCCTGCCTGCACAGCTGCCTGTCTATTCCTGTTCGTCTGTCCCCTTCTCTTCAGTGAAAGGATTGCATGAAAAACAGYGCTCTCGTAGCTGATGTCGAGAAGGCCACAACTCCTCAGCTCTTGCTTCTCTGCATGCAACCCCAAAATTGGACCTATTGTCTGTGCCTCCGACACACCCATCCCTCCCTCCAACTTCCACGTTTTGGGATCAGAGAAAAACTCTCAGTGACTTAGTTTAGCATGTCTCAAATTATCACGTGCCTCCTGAAACTTCAACGTTTCATTGTTGAACGTGGAGGCACACACCCACCCAAGAAATGTCTGTTACTAGGCGGATTTACAGCGCAGCATCTGCGCTCCCAGAATGGAAAAGTTTGGGCCACCGGAGTTATCTTGGTTCAGCAGTTTACTGGAGCTGTTTGTTGTAAGTTTTGAGTTGGCATCAAAGAGTTTCAACATTACAGCCACAAGTGCAGAAATCTATTTTTCTTCGGACTGAAAGTGCAGTTTTGTCTCGCAGTGATGAGATGCACATGTGCTTCCTCTGGCAAAGTAGAGTGACTGGTTAGCTCTTTCTGTTGAGCAGCTCATGTTCTGTGTTTTATAGTCATAATTTGCTCTATTAAATCACCTTTGCTTGTCTCATGAAACCTTATTACTCTGCTTAGAGGTCCAGTCCCATGCAATACAAACAAAGTAACAAAGCATGAAAAACCTGGAAGTAATTGCTGTTCAAATACATACGACTGGTTGCTAAAGTTCACAGGCTACAGAAACACATGTTACACGTGTTTTTCCTTATTTACTAACTTAATTCTGCAGTTTTGTTCATGTCATTTGATTTATAGATGCAGGACAAGTGTTTACTGCACAACTCCTATCGAAGTTTAACTCTTACTGGCTTTGAAAAACAGCAAAAATATGTTTGTGCAACTCGGATGTGTTCGTTCGACAAACCAAAACCTTATAAATTCAAGTTTGGTTAACGTAAACTCATTAAATCAGTCTAATAAATACCAAACCTTTTTTTTCTTTTCTTTTCTTTTTTGATGTTTGTATGAGCGTGCTCTGGGACCAAACCTGTTCCCAGCAGGTGTTTGATATGACTCCACATCTCAGAAATGAATCTGAGCACTCACTTGTCCTCAGGGCTCATCATCGCTGTTCCTGACAGGACAACATCTGGCACGACATAAGTCAACTGAAACAAGCCAAACTGTCAAGAATGTTAAATCTGATAAGGCGTCATGGCACCGTTTCAAAAAAAGAAAAAAAAAGAGGGGAAAAAAGAATTGATTTGAATATAAACAGAGTGTGAGTAACATAGTTGTGCAAATACTTTCAGAAAATACTGAATGAGAGGAGGTGTTCCCTCTTGTCAAGGTATGCAGGTAAACTGTGTGAGAGTGCCTTTCTGTCACACGTAGACATACATCTGCAGCCGTGGCTCTTCAGGTTCTTAACTAGCAATGATAAAAAAGACGAATCATGCAAACTCAACCTGCACKTTCGCTCTTATTGAAGAGGCTTCCTGAACTGTGGAGCATGAGTGTGGATGTGGGTGGCAAAACTCCTCCAGCCTTGACATTGGAAACTGCCAAAGAGCACACTGGAGTTAGTTGTGGTTGGCCGGATGCACGGGATGCATGTAAGGCCAGGCCAGCTATTGAGGCACAGGGTTTGGCAGGCCCGGACCATCACAGCTCAACGTGGCCACACAGGCCAATTAAGATAGTCTTTCTCCACTCCTTTCTTCTCCTCTCCTCTTCTGTCTCTTTCTTCTCATTTCCCTCTCTCCATCTCTTCTTCCTTTCGATCCTCACAAAGCGTGCTCACACATTCCTCCTTTCCCACTTTGCCTCTCTAATTGCTGCAGACTGAAAAGAGGGATGGAGAGAAGGCAATGAGATTGAGAGAATGAGACAGTGAGAGGGAGAATCGAGAGAAAAGGGGGTCATACCACAGCACCTCAATAGCCAGAACAAACTGTACTGGCTCTCTGGAATAGCCAGTTCTGTTTGTGGTGCGTACAGGCGCAAGCATCCACTGCTCCCTCTTTTGCTAATTACACAAAACCACAACCAGATATTATTTCCAGCTAAAAAAACAAAAGTTTTCGATAACATAAATCAGTCAATCCTCTGACAAGATCTCTTACAGCAGAGACAGAATATAAAGAGAGAATTGTGCTACTTCAGCGCCCCACAAAACTAATTGTTAATTTCGATTCAACCAGGAGCAGCAAGAAGGCTTTTCTTATTATGTAACCTTAGCTTCTGACGTATTAACATTGTGGTGGAAATTGGTGGATTTTCAAGACAATAAAWCAGGGAAAAGAGGAGCATGTTTGTGTGTATTTAATTGTTTTTGATAATTTTTCTTATAGATTTTTTTTATTTTACATATGTAAAGTAAAAAAAAAGAGAATTGTCAGATGAGAAATGAAAACAAACTGACAAAACAGCCACACAATACCAGAGTTGGTTTTTCTGTCTATGTTTGATCATTTCTTTAAAAAAAAAAAGCACGCGAAGGGTTCAGACGGCCCACTCAGATACTAAACATAGAGAACCGTTTGAAAGCTACATTTGTAAAGTTTTGCAATTTTGAGGCTTTTGGTGTTTTTGTCAACACACACTGAAAGGTCAGAGACACGACAGGGCAA